CCAGAACCAGACTAGGACTGAGACCAGTTTAGTCCTGTTTTAGTCCTGGGATCAGTCCTGGTTCAGTCCTGGTTCAGTCCATATGCGGCACAAAAGTCCGGCATCACAGTTTAAGTCACGGAAACAGGAAACATCCGTTATCCGTTTTTTCCATTATTCATTTAAACACAAAATCAAAAACTGAAAAAATGAATCGTTATCTGTTTTTTCATTATGGTTTTGGAGACAAATAAAGAAAACTGTTTTCTTGTTTTTCTTATTTTTGGTTTTATATTGAAAAATGCCTGAACGAATGACACAGATTGAAGAGGATTCTTCTTTCTGCTCCTTTTCATTCATTTCTTGTGTGTTTGACTTTGTGACACTTAATGTCTTTTTATACTTTATGAATAAATGAACTAAACTACTACTAATAATAATCTGACACACCACAACATCTGGGAGGGCATCTGACACAGACACAGTACAATATCTACAGCAACAAGACACATGTGACCTGCTCCATCTCAGTCCAACACTACAGGGATAGAGGAGGACGGGAGGGCATCTGACACACTGGGATTTAGATCATTTATCCAGTAGATCCATTAACCCGCGTTATTTATCCAACCATTTTCAGATTAACAATAGATATAAGACTCTTAATCTGGTGTTTCATGAGGCTTTGAGTCGTCCAGACCTTTGACCTAAAGGTTGCCGGTTTGATCCCTGTATCAGTATTGTGTTCATAGTAGAGCTACAACATTTTTGATTAGTTTTTTTATTTCGAGTTCGTGCCAAGAGGGAAACAATAATCACATACACACTACATTAGAGATATAACAATAACCGAAATATCGTGATATTGTTTTAACTTCTTGGGTTCTTCTTAAAGACAATACAGTAAAAGTACATTTCCCTGGTTGACATGTTTCGGCTGCTGCTGCAAACCATCATCAGAACTGTCACCGGTGTTGTCGTACATCATGATCATCCGTCATATGGATTGGGACAGAGCTTGGGTCATTGGATCGGAAAACAACAAGTTCAAACTGAGGATCAGGGGGGACAGGGAAATCAGGAAACGAGGCACAGACAACATGAACCAAGATGACGGAGAGTTCCTCCTTTCACACACCTGGACCCCCTCCTCCAGAGAACACTGGGCGACGGGAGGCGTGGTCAGTCTGAGCGACCTGCCAGGTCCATTGGACTGACCACGCCCACAGGAAGTAACAACAGCTGACCACGCCCACAGGAAGTAACAACAGCTGTTGTTACTTCCTGTAACTTCCTGTGGTCAGATGTTACTTAATTCTGTCCGTCTCTTGTTTCCTGAGGTCACTGTCCTCTCTGATCCAGCGTTTCAACTTGTTTTCTGACCCAATGACCCGAACCCCGTCCTGATCCAGAATGTGGTTATTTAAAAAGAACTCAAGAAGTTTGACCGGTTTCAACCTGTAACATCCAGGTTATGTGTGTAATACCCCGGTTATGTGTGTGCCAACTTGTTTGGGTGAATATTTTAGGCCGCAGATGGTTCAGAAATTGTTGAAGTTGACGATCCTTTATAATGGTGTGACCTTTCAACTGACCCGTGTGACTTCAAATGAGCTCAGATCGTCACCAAACTTTTTTACGGCATCAGGCACCCGGGTTTGACCCACGTACCAAATTTGGTGACAATCGGTCCATAAATTGCGGAATTATCGCGGGTGGACAGAGACACACACACACACACACACAGAGACACACACACACACACACACACAGACACACACACAGACACACACACACAGACACACACACACACACACACACACACACACACACACACACACAGACACACACACACACACACACACACACACACAGACACACACAGACACACACACACACAGACACACACACACACACACACACACACACACACACACAGACACACACACACAGACACACACACACACACACACACAGACACACACAGACACACACACACACACACACAGACACACACAGAGGGTGAATACAAAACCTGGCCAACCCTTCGAGGACCAGGTAAAAAAAATATTTTAATTAATTAATTATTAATTTAATTAAATAAATTATTTATTTAAGCAATAGAATGTTATTTTCAACTTTAAATCATAGTACTTTATTCCCATGTGCTCTTATATGTGTGTAATCCTCAGTGGTCGTCCAGTCTATGTACTCTTGTACTTGTTATACTCTAGTACTTGTTATACTTGTTATACTCTAGTACTTGTTATACTCTTGTACTATACTCTAGTACTTGTTATACTCTTGTACTTGTTATACTCTTGTACTTGTTATACTCTTGTACTTGTTATACTCTTGTACTTGTTATACTCTAGTACTTGTTATACTCTAGTACTTGTTCTACTTGTTCAGCTCAACATTATTCTAAAGACATTCTGTCCTGTCAATGGGACTTTTTTAGTGTCAGTACCTGCTCAGATGAGTATGTAGTTTTTCTGTACTTTTGACAGTCTGTGTCCTTGTCCCCTGTCCTCTGTAACGTGTGGACGTCCTGTGTGCTGCTCCGTGTGGTCAGACTGGTGCAGTGCGGTCAGATTCTGCTGCAGGACCCAGAGACACGCCTCAGTCTGAACACACGCACTTCACATGGACACAGTTCTCCTGGGAGGGAAATGCAAGAACTGCAACTTTAGGACAGACAGAAGTGATGGAAAGAATACTCAACATTTAGATTGAAGTAAAAGTACACTTATATAGATAAACATGTACTAAATTAGAAGTATAAGTGCTGAAAACAAATTTGTACTTAAAGGTGCATTGTGTAACTTTTCTGGTAGAGGGTTTACCAGCAGTTAGACTCCATGTTCTACAGTATGGCATTTAACATAACTATCACCATGGAGACAAGCAGGCCACATCACCAGGCCAAGTTACAGGTCAGATCTGCGGAGAAGTGGTTCGCTCACAGAAATAAATTGTAGTTTTGACAAATAAAATCACCTAAACTGAATAAATACAAGATATATTTGTTCAGTGCCATACTGTGGAACTGTGGAATCTGAGAAAGCAATAAGATCACCATGGAGACAAGCTGATGGCAGAGCCTCCCTCAGAAAAGTACACAGTGCACCTTTATGTAAAAGTGTTGAGTCCAAATGAAAATATCACTCAAAGTCCTAGTTACTTTTCTAGGTGATTTTAACATCAGTCTTTTATACAAAACTTTATTAAAGCTTAATCCACATCCTGGTCTTTTAAAGGAGTAATAAATATGCTATAAAATTTATATTGTGGAAAGATTTCTCTCAATCTGTCTTTGTGTAAATGAATGGGATTTGTCTGTCTCCTCCTTCAGGAAACTGCTGTCTAGTGTTCCTCAAATGCATGTTAAGTTGATTGACACCAGCCTCTGAAACAAAAGTCACTCTGCTTTGATATGTGTGTAAATTGTATTTCTGTATAAATATTCAGAGCTCAAATGCTCTGGAGAGACTCAGAGCGGAGATGCTCAGACTAAAGTGGTAGAGACATTCTGCTGGTGAGGATGTTGGGCTCTGGCCTGGGCAGGTGTAGGCCTCGTTCATATCTGCTGAAACAAGAATTAACCTTTGTCTGTATTCCAAAAACTCATCAGGCTACGCAAATTGATTAATTATCATCAAAAGATACATCCTTTTGTCCACAACACTATTACTCCATATTAGGAACAAGAAAGTTTTCCAATAAAGGTCCAATATTGTCCTAAAATTATCTCTCACAACAATGACACACACAAAGCAAATGATCACCAGCTAAACTACAGCCACAGTCCAAACACACACATAAACTGGGCAGTGGAAAATTGAAGAGGAGAGGAGTTTACCCAGAGTTTGATTCAACTCAAGTTCACTTATATTACACATAGTTTGGCAGTTTTAGATTATAATGGTGAAACTGGACTAAGAACAGTGACATCCACAGACACAGTGTTGTGCTCACAGGTCCTACACCCTGAGCTCAGGCCTGAATAAGCACAGCACTGGTCTCACTGTTATTATGTTTTATCAGTTTTCCCAATCGCAACCAGCATCAAGCTATAACCAAGTGTGTATTTATACAATTTTTATAACTGCTAAAATGAATGGAAGTCAATGGGGTGAACCCAACATGAGGTTTGACTTTTCTCACAGTGACAGTGACAAATGGAGAGCACACAAAAGACATAATATACTGTATATTGTTTAGATCATTTTTTGACCCGAGCTCCAACATTGTGTCAGGCAGACTGGTTTGGACTATACATTTTGCATAAGCTCACACATTCTTACGTCATGGTCACTGACGGACACTTGATCTGTCTGTGAAGTTCACTATTGACCCCACAGTAGTGTGAAGAAGTTCGAGAGCTTCAAACACATAATATTCACACATAATATTCTGCTGTACCTTGTTGTGTGTGACTCATACTAACACTCTCACAGATGAAGTCTCACACGTCCTATGAACACAAGTATAGTGCACAAATTCAACTTTGCAACAGTAAATGGGTGAAGCATAAAACGAGAACTTCACAGGGGGATGAAGTGTCCGTCAGTGACCACGACGTAAGACTGTGTGAGCTTATCAAAGATGTATAGTCTGAGATCCATGAAAGCGAAACAGGTTTTTGGATCAGAATATTATTAAGGCCCAACAGACACCGTCAATGACACCTGTCGAGATAAAACACTCATCTTCGTCCTCGCAGTGGCACCCAGAGTCAGACACTGACCAAACACCAGACGCTCAGTGACAGTGACCGAGTAAAACGCTCAACAAGAGGAGAATGATGAGTGCGTCACTGTCTGCATCATTCAGATTCACAGTGATAAACAACACAAAGTAAACTCCACCTGCAGCCGCGCTCCAAACACACTGTTAGACTGAGCAGAGACAGAGAGGAGAGTGTACTCAGTGTGAAGCTCAGTTTAAGTCAGGGGTGTTAAACTCATTTTGGTCCGGGGGCCGTATCCAACCTACTTTAATCCAAAAGGGGCTGGATCAGAAAACTCATGTCATATAAACCCCAAAAATAACAATAAGTTCAAATATTTGTGCAGAGAAACACAAATCTATTACAGAAATCTTTTTGAATTGATGAACTCTTTCTTTTACAAAATACTGAAGTGTCTCCCGGTTATGAATGGACAAATAGTTTACAAGTGTCGCTTTATTGCAAGAACTGAATTGGTTACTGTCGGCCGTAACCACGCCAGTACAATCCGGTTAACAGTCCACTAGGTCCCGCTAAAACTCAGACCACGCTACTCACAGAACCAACCAAAAACAAGAAAGAAACCCCTCTCCTCACAACCTCTCTTCCTGACGTAAGCCCAGACCCCCCAACTTTCATCCAATCACGTAGGCCATGAGCTTAACATAACACATCAAATAACAGTTATAAAAAAAAGGAACAAGGTTTTAACAATTAAACTATTGCAGGTTGCTACAATATTATAACATTATAAACAACCGAAACATGCAATTTCAACACAATGTCTTAACATGAACTTGTATTCAAATAGGAACAAGTCGATTTTTCTTGGAAAGCAGCGTCCACTTTTCTCATTTTCAACATTTTTCTGATGAGGGTGTCACTGTCAACAGTCAAAACGATCGTCCTTTAAGAGCGTTTGGAAAGAGACAAGTCTTCATTTGTGCTGCTCTGGTGGGAGGGGCCACGTACAGAGACGCTGGAGACGCTGCTGTGATAAACACCACAGAAAATTAACAATATTTTAATATACCGTGTTTTCCGGGCTATTAGGTGCTCTGGATTATAAGGCGCACTGTCATTAAATGGTCTATTTTAGAACTTTTTTTCAAATAAACTGCACCGGACTTTAAATAAAACCCAACAGTGTGATGGGTGAGTGGTTTTGTTTGTTTGTTCGTTCACGGTGACTCTGGGCTTTGTTCAGTTGTGGCGTGTAGGGAGGGTGCTGTCTGGGACCAACGGATTGTCGGCGTGTTCACAGTGACTCAGTTGTTCAGTTGTGTCTAGAAGTGGCACATTGCACTCACTTTTTCGGTTTGTTCCTCTGTTCAGTTCCTCGTCGGCGTGGAGTGATGAGTGTGTCTGTGGGTGTTTTTCTCTGTGCGGTCGCGGTCTGCTCCATGTGTGTTTACGTGCACTGTGGGTGGAGCGGTTTAGTGGTTTACTCAAGTGACACCGGCGTGGATTCGTGTATAGGGTGCGGTCGTTTTTTGATGGGTTTAGGGGCTTAAGAGTGCGTCTAATAGCCCGGAAAATACGGTAATTAAAATATTGTAGTAGAAAATCAGCTGAGGGCCAGATTAAAGGTCTTGGGAGGGCCAGATCCAGCCCCCGGGCCTTATGTTTGCCACCCCTGGTTTAAGTTCATGAATATTACACACAGTTGGCAGCAAGCACTATGCACATGCACATGACGCAGCTCCAGAAGTGCTGTGGTGCTCCAGATTCTTTCCGTTTACAGTCTTTTCTTTTCTGGCCAGATGCCGGAGCCGACCGCAGCCTTCAGTTCTGGTGTGCACACATGATCTCACACAACAACAGGAGCGGAGTGGGTGCAGTGTGAGCGGGTGCAATCCGACGAGGCCTAGACCACAGAAGCTGCTATTTCACCTAATTTACACTTTACTATAAAAGGTTAAACATGGAAAGAATGCTCCTTAAACGGCAGTATTTTCCCTTCGCTGTGGATCTGTGGATCGTGAGTCAGAGTCACAGGACGCTCCGGCAGAGATGACTCCAGACACATTCACAACATTCAACACATGCACTGCAAAAAATAACATCTACGCGAGGTAAAATGGAGAGAAAACGGTATATTTGACAACTTCAGCCGCACGGAAATTCTATAGGCGTCAATGCAGAATCTCGTCTCATCCCTGAGTCAGACGTGGTGAGTGCAGCACGTACAGGAGCAGCTGTGACAGTGGAGGGAAGGGAAAATGCAGAATTGTAAAGACCGAGCCAGTTTGTGAAGCGACCGATTAAACAGACAAGCATTATTCTTATACACTCCACACACACACACACACACACCCTTCAGGGCTGGAGCTTCACATCACCTGCGCCTCAGACACAGGAAATTAAACCAGCTCAGATATTAAAGGTTCTGTTTACGTCCATGTCTCTGGGTTTTTCTCTATACTTCAGAATGTGTCACTGTTACAGAAGAAGAGTGTTTGAATTCAAATCAACAAGGTGTACGTCTTATCAATTCATTCAATCAATCATAAATACTATATCAATATCTTTCAGTATATTTAAAGTTGCATTGTGTAACTTTTCTTCTTTCACCTGCTTGTTTCTATGGATAAGTCATTGCTCTGCCTGAAATGTTCCACAGTGTGACATTAAACAGCTCTACTTTACTTTATTCAATTACAGGTGGCTTTTTAGTTCAAAAATACCTTGAAAAACAGACACTGGGACTGTGAGCGGGGTCGCCTCTCCACAGATCTGACCTGTAATGTGCTCTGGTTTGGTCTCCATGAAGATAGAAAAGTTTAATGCCATACTGTGGAACATTCCAGATAAAGCAATAACATCTCCATGGAGAAAAGTGTTTGACAGAATCTTCACCAAAAAAAAGTTACACAATGTATCTTGAAACAGTATTTATCATGTTTATATTTTCTTTGCATTTGCTTTTTTTTTTTTTTTTTTTTTTGGCAATAGATTTGAACTTCAGGGAAGTTCAATAAGTAACTTTTTATCATTTACAGATACTAAGTACTAAAGTTTTACTGGGATTCTCCGGCTTCAGTGTCATTGTAAACGTGCATAATTTCAGTCTACGTTTATATGGTGAGGGTCTGAACAGAAGACGCAAAAGTGGCGTCGCGTCTTCACCTTTTTATTCCGTGTTTAGACGAGTGTTTTCAGGAGGAAATCTGTGTGCATACGGTGACGCAAAAGTGTGTGGACAAAGAGGTTTTCACATTTTCATCAGCTACTCCTTCAACAAAGTTGTTCCCCCAGGTCTTGTCCGTAGCCGGCTCACCTGCAACCAACTGGTGCATCTAGAATTGCAAGATCCTTCCCTGTTCACTAATAGTATCTGTGTATATTCTGTACATTTGTTGGGATGCCTCCTGTTCTGTGTCCTGTATGTATGTGACGTAAACGCGTACGTGACCTGAGCAGATTTGACCAGTGTTTGGCGTCTTGGGCAGTGTAGATGGAAACGCTTCGGCGGAGAGTATTCAACTTCTCCACTCTGGACGGTGAGTTCAGATTTTTTCATTTTTAAGACCCAAAAATATCATCACCGTCTAAACAAAAGCCACTTCCGATAAAATACTTTGTCCTTCTTACCCATAAGTGTTAACCTGTTAACCTTAAAACTGCCATTTTATGACATCACAAGGTGGAATAGAGTATTCTGATGTTTGGAGACACAGACAAACTAAGAATAAAGGATTAGTCAAATGAAACAAAACACAAATCAAGGTCTGTTTTTGACAAGGCAACAACATTATAACATGACTTAAAGGTGCATTGTGTCACTTTTCTTGTGGAGGATCTGTCAGATGCTTTTCTCCGTGGAGATGTTATTGTTTTGTCAACGTATGGAATTAAACCTTTTTATCCTCATGGAAACCAAAGCAGTCCAAGTTACAGGTCAGATCTGTGGAGAGATGACACCACTCACAGTCAGTGTCTGTTTTTTGAGGTTTATAGGTTTTCTAGGTTATTTTTGAGCTAGAGTTAGAACCTGTAACTGAGTAAATATAAGACAGAGCTGTAATGTCACACTGTGGAACATTCCAGGCAGAGCAATGGCCAGTGTTGGGGAGTAACAGATTACATGTACCACCATCAGAATACTAATTATGAGTAACTGTATTTGGTTATAGTTACTGTTTCAGTGAGTGGTAATTGGATTACAGTTACCAGGACTAAACCAGGTCTAAACCAGGACTAAAATTGGACTAAACCAGGACTAAACCAGGTCTAAACCAGGACTAAACCAGGACTAAACCAGGTCTAAACCAGGTCTAAACCAGGACTAAACCAGGACTAAACCAGGACTAAACCAGCACTAAACAGGACTAAACCAGGACTAAACCAGGACTAAACCAGCACTAAAACAGGACTAAACCATGCTGTGCGGACCATGTCTCCTCTTCTATCAATAATATTTTTAATTTGGTAAAGTAAAGTCTGGGTTTTTATTTTCTTTTAGCAGATAAAACATCTTATGTTACAATTTTCTCGTCTTTGTTTCTCTACAGCAAATCAAGTAATCCAAAGTATTCAGATTACATTACTCACTTTAAGTAATTTAATAAATTACGTTACAAACTACATTTTGGAGTCTGTAATCTGTAATCTGTAATCTGTAGGGGAATACAATTTAAAAGTCACCTTCCCAACACTATCAATGACATATGCATAGAAACAAGTAGGTGACAGACACTCCACCAGAAATGTTACACAATGCATCTTTAAAGCTCACAAGAGTCAATTCTGTGACTTTTAAACTACACTGGTCGTCATTAAAGAGCAAATAAATACATAAATAAACAGGTAAAAACATAAAAACTATTAAATACGCAGAGGCCCACACACACAAGTACACAGAGAGTATTGTCCTCAGTCATGTGCAAACTAGAAGTACAATTCTGTTGTGTCAAAGTCCACTTGTGACGGTCGTAAATGACATCAGCTGAACACACTGCCCTTCAGGTTCACTTCTCCACTTCCTCAATGACACGCGCATTAGTCACGTGACCCCAGCGAGAGCCAATCAGACGCGGCGATACTGGCACATGTCTGCGCTGATAAAACGAGAATGTATGACGTGGATCTGTCAGGCTTTATCTCCAACGCACTTTGTTTTTCATTGCGGTGGATTTAATAATGTGTAACAGAGTCAGAGTCAGAGTGTGCGGCGGACGACACAGAGAGATTAAAGAGGCCGTACCTGGTTTTTTCACGTAATAAAGTGAAATCAGTTTTACGTCAGTGCACATATATTATAAAAGCAGCTCTAAGGTCAGGTCAGGTAAGGATAGGTACTGTTGGCATCAATTATAAAGCATTTTTATTGTCGCGAACCAGGAACTGCGGCTGATGCGCTGTTAGCATGCTAGTTATTGTTAGTATTATTGTGACACCTAAACTCTTTTGCGACTCGCTGAGGCCCTTTGTCAGTTTCCAGGGCTGAAATCATCCAAGTGATTCTAGTGAAGGTGTATGAGGTTTAAAAACACAGTGGAGCACTTCCTGTATCACCACATGACATCACAAGGTGGAGCAGAGAGAAGAATTCAGCCTAAATGTGCAGGGTTTATGTGTTAAATATATGAATGAAACAAAACACAACTCCAGGTCTGTTTGTGATGAAGAAACCAAATTATAAAAGAGTTTTAGAAAATAAATATGTAGAAAAGAAAGTGAAATGTCTTAGCAGTACGATCTTCTTGATGGAATAGTTTTATATAAAGGTGTGTGCTTTATGGTGTTTAAATGATTTTATTGGATGTAATCACGTTCAGTTGATTGTCCCAAGGTTCCTCTATCTCTCTCTCTCTGTTTGATGATTGTTAATAATCACTCTCTCTGTGTCTTGGTCAGGACACTCTTGGAAAAATTATGTATTTTTATTTCAGTGAGGTTCTTCTAGTGTGACCGGACGTCCCTGTTTACCTGAGACAGTCCCACTTTTGATCCCTGTGTCCCCCTAGTCAGGCTGGCGCCACCTAGTGCCTCCGCTCAATCTCTCTTCTCTCCAGTGACTAGGTCAGGAATCTGAATACACTAGACCAGTGGTGTCCAAACTTTTTTCATCAAGGGCCACATATTTAAACACAGCTGAAGCAGAGGGCCGATCGAGGACCATAGACTGGTGCACAACACAGTGAATAACTGAAATATGTGCATGTTTAACATGTTAGAAGGAGCCATCAGTCTTTATTTGTGCCAAGATCCTTAAAACTACACACTAATATTGAATAATTTTATCAAGGTAGATTTTCAAAAAACTTGCAGTAAAAAGTTCATTTTTAATTGATGTGAGGTAATTTGTGCCAATTCATCTGGAAGCCTGAGGGCCAAGAAAAATTTGTCTGGGGGCCACATTTGGCCCACGGACCATAGTTTGGACATGTCTGTTCTAGACAGTTTGCAAAACCCCGAAAGTGCGAGTCCAGGCACCAGCCAATCAGCAAAGAGCCATATATTCAGTGTTGTCAATGATTCAAGAGATCGAGGATTTAAAGCCCAAACAAAGAGAATGTTTGGTGAATTTTATCAAGGGGAAAGACGTTATTGTTCTTTTTCCTACGCGATTTGGGAAAAGCTTAATAAACCAGTTAGTCCTGTTTAGTGGCACACTACATATGTCATGACCAAATAACAGCGATTGGTTAAATGATTAAAAAGTACCCATCTACTGTCAAGTGAACGAATTCTAGTTCCCTGTTAATTCAAAACCAGTGATTTGTCCCAGTTTTATACAAGAAATGTCCCAGTGTCTCTATTTTTTACCAATCTGACCCCTGCCAACAGTAAATGGAGACATAAACTGACATTTGTTTAGGTAAAATACAGAAAATCTGCTGAAAAACGACCAAAACACAAAGAAAATGTGATTATACTGACTCACATGGGCCGAGTGAGGAACAATTTTCCTTAATTACGCACTCTTTTCACAATTTTATTATTTCCAACCAAACTGAACTGAGAGTGTCCCAGTTTTCAGTCAGTTTGATTTTGAAAATCTGGTCACTCCATGTTAATTAAAAGTTAAATTATAAACATATTGTGGTTTAAAAATGTGAATGCTGTTGAGTGAGGAAAGTGAAGAATAACTGAACCACTGCAAAATGTTTAAAAGGAACGAGATCTGTTTTTCATGGTTTTAAGACAGTAAAAATCAGATACAGCGCGTTTAATGACCTCTACTCTAAATATTTCAAATAAATAAGAATAAAAATTGAATTCTACTCACAAATCAGCTGCTCATGTTGTTGATGGTTCCAGTCCAGCTTTGCCCAGTGTTGTTGCATCCTTTGGCAAGACACTTCTCCCAGGCAGCGAGGATTTGTTGGTTTGTGTCCAGCCTCACAGCAAGAAGGTCCCAGGTTTGACTTCAGGAGCAGGTGGGGTCTTTCTGTGTGCAGTTTGCATGTTCTCCCTGTGTCTGGATGGGTTTTATCTGGGTTCTCTGGTTTTCCTTCACAAACAACCCAAAACGTACACAACGGGTCAAATCCTCCAGCTCAGATAGTCCTGATGAAGACTAGCTCAAGATCTGGAGGTGGTTCTTCTTTTGTTGCCCCAGTGGAATTGAAGTACAGGTCAAAATCAGGAGACATATTTCCCTGTGGGCACAATTACAGTAAGTTTACTTTAAAAGATGCACTGTGTAACTTTTCTAGTGGAGAGTTTGTTAAATGCTTTTCTCCATTTTGATGTTATTGTTTTCTCTGGAATGTTTCACAGTATGATATTAAACCTTTCTATCTTCATGGAGACCAAACTAGACCAAGTTACAGGTCAGATCTGTGGAGAGGCGACCCCGCTCACAGTCACAATGTCTGTTTTTCTGCACTAACTACACGTCACTGTCATATCCTACTAAACTCTTACATATAATTCTTAGTTATTTTTGTTAATTATCCCACATTGTTCATTTACATATATTTTATTTAATTCATTTCAGTTACTTCCATATTCTCCACACTCACCTGCAGCTCCACATGGTCCAGACAAAGAGTGGGCGTGTCCATGTCGGCCATGTTTAAAGACTTGGGAGGAGGTCGTGGCCTGGACCATGTGGAGGAGAACTGCTTTAAGTTTTCTTGTGTATTTGGTTTTATATTTTATTTTCAACACACTGTTAGTTTGTTAAACACTTACAACTGATTTTAAAAGGGACTTAGGCCCATGTAAATGGAACAGCCTAACTTTAGACTTTTGAAAGTTTCCTGTAGAGGAACGGATACTTACCTGGGGGAGGTACTTCCTGCTGGGGCTATAAAAGTGTCAGTCAGGAGGTACACTCACACTTTCTGTGGAATATTAACTGTTAACACAACATATTTAGGTCGCCATGTTTCCTTTGATTCTTTTGAAAATGCCATATTTGATTTAGCAGAACACCTTTCTTTAAATTCTTCTAAAATATTCAAATTCTAACTGTAATTTCTGCACAATTGTGTTTCATTTGTCAGTTTGACTTGTTCCTACAGTTTGGACAGATATACAAAGTTCATATTTGCTGTTCCTGTTTGAACTAGCAAAGTGCGCTGTATCTAATCACACTGTGAATGTGACTCAGGACGTGTGGTGGTGTTATCAGAGTCAGTGTGTGTCAGAGTGTGTTGGGCTGCTGCTGCAGAGGGCGAGCTGTGCTAACGTTACTTCTGTGTATCAGCACAAAACAAACAGGATTTAGACTCAACAGGAAGACAAAGCTGCAGATAGAACAGTTTTAAGTGGGGTAATTGTGATTGAGGGAACTATGGGAGATAAAATGAGATAAATTCCAAATATATATCAACATACCAGGACAGGGTGTATGTGAAAATAAAAAAGGGACATCCTTGTTTTTTGGTGGCTGATAATAATACAACTTTAAGGACAATTGTTATGCAAAAACTATTTTTGTCCAACGTGAGTATTAGGGCTGTGCAAAAATATTGGAATATCGATATATCGTATCGTTTAATGTGATGATACAGTATGAATATCATGAACTGCTGCATCGATATATCGCCAAGAGTATTTTTTAGTATATTTTACTACATTATTTTGTTACAGCTACAGTTTTGTTGGAAACTCGTTTATGTGACACATTTGATATTTTCACTGTTTTGATGATTCAAATGTTTGTGTTTCTTATGAATTTTGCACAAGATGTGGTTTAACAAAGACTTTTAGTATCACAGCCATAATTATTTATTTATTTATTTTTGATTTCATTTGTAACATACAACATGCACACAGACATTAAACAGGACAGGACAAAACAATAAGTACAATATGGAACAATACAATACAAATGCATACAGCACCACAGCACACAAGGTGTGACTGTGTGCTTGTAAGAGTGTGTGTGTATGAGTAAGACTTAGGGATGTAACAATAACTGAAATGATATCGTCAAAGTTCTCACAATAATATCATGGACCATCACAACATATCGAATTACAAGTCTCTTTGCTTAAATGAAGAGTTATGATGCAGCAAAAACTCAAAAAAGACAGAGGGAACTACATAGACCATGATCCTTTGCTCCATTTCAGTGCAGACTACAAGAAGAAATAACAGTTCTAACACTTTTAAGTCTTAGTTCTTTGGATTGAGTCTTGTCAAGGTGTTTTAAGAGGAAGAAGGAGCATATTAACAGATCTGTTCACCTCCAGAAAATATCGCAATAAATATCGTATCGTGAGATTTATCGTTACACCTCTAATAAGAGTGTGAAGTTTCAGCATCAGTAAATATAAATGACTAATTGTGTATAGTTAGAGAGTTGTAGAGAGTCTTCACAGTGAACTGGACCATCAGCTCAATGTTGAGAATAAAAACAACTGGAAATAATAACAGACATATGCCACAACATACACATGCCAGTGTGTAGAATTATTCAAACAAGTGGGAAGAGGAAGAGGAGGGGACCTTGTTATGTTTGGTAATGAGTTCTTCAGATTGGTGTTTAAGCCTCCCGTTTATTCATGTGCCCAAAAATGTAAGACAATTATTCATTATTGTTTTTATTTGTTAATTGACTGACTTTAATGATTTGTTATTACCTTTTATATTTTTTTGTATAATTCATGTATTTATTTATGCATTTTACTAGATTTAAGTATATGTTTTATGTCTGGGAGATAATGTCATGTCTTAGGGAGAAGGGAGAGGGGAAAAAAAGGTTAAGAAGTTTATGTTTTTGTTAGTTTGTAGAATTAACGTGAGTGGAGTCCAGACAGAGACGGGTTCCATCAGTGATTGATTATTGGTATTTTGAAAAGATTCTGTTGGGATATGATCCATGAGTAGATTTCTCCAGTGTGTGTGTATGTTCGCCATTATTTTTTACTGAACTGTGTCAAATTGATTTGAAATATATCATATTGAATCCAAAGTGCACTGCATTGAGATCTGTATTGTATCGTGGAATATGTATCGAGATCTGTATCATATTGGCAACTTCTTCATCATGCCCAGGCCTAGTGAGTAGAGTTTTGGTCATTTTTGAGCAGCTTTTCTGTATTTTCCCAAAACAAATGACACTTTTTGTCTCTTTACTGTTGGCAGGGATGAGATTGGTCAAAAATAGAAACACCGGGACATTTCTTGTATAAAACTGGGACAAATGACTGGTTTTGGATAAATGTGCCTGGACAGGGACACAGGCTCAAATCTGGGACTGTCTCGGGTAAACGGGAACATCTGCTCGTCCTAAACCAGGAGAATCACAGGGAGGATATGCACACTTCACTCAGACACACCAGGAATCTAACCCACAACCTCTTTACAGTGAGAGGCATTCATTAATAAAGTCACCCTCTCCTCTCTTGCCCTTGTCGTGTGGTTCGCTCTCATTAAAAATGGAGTGACCCACTTTGGCTTTGCTCAGAGGCACAAAGGCCCTTTCTGTTCTGGGTTTAAGTCTGAGTCCAGTTTCACATCAAATATTTAAGGCTTCTTATCGAGATACAATCAAATCTTTTTAATAAGCTCCTCTTTAAACGCTCGTGATCGGATAGCAAAGTGCTGTCTGGGAGATAAAGTGATTGGCAATTTATTATTTATACAAATTAATATTTTTAATTTAGTGGCTGCAGAACTGTATCTCAGAACATAATACTCACCTCTCTCTCTCTCTGTGTAGGTTCCAAGCTCTCATCTGGTCTTATGTTGATCTAAATACAAAGTTGTGAAGGTTCTGGGTTAAACTCCTGAGCTTCACATTTATAAAAGTGTTGTCACGATACTAAAAACTCAAACTATTACTCAAACTACTCAAACTCTATTTCGATACTAAGGAAAAGACTGGACACTCCACTGATTCTGATACCACGATGAAAATAAAACCACTTTCTTTAGACCAGTGTTTCCCAGATTTTTTTTTGGGGGGGACCCATCATTTACAAGTCAATAGACATAGACATTATCATAAATTACAAAATAAAGGTGGATTTAAGCGTTATTGAACATTAATGAGGATATTTTATTGTTGACTGTCACTGCAGCAACAATAAAAGGATCCAGAAGTCGACTATTTGGACATTAAATGTAGAACATTTCTTTTTCTTTTCAGCATTCAATTGAATTAGCAATACTGGAACAAAATAGTCCAGGGGTGGGCAAACTTTTTGACTCGTTCTAAAAAGGGTTCTAAAATTTGATGGAAGAGCCGGACCAGGAGCAGATGGATGGAGTTTATCTGTTTATCTGTATTTCAAGTCCCTCGGTATTTTCTGTTTATTGAAATAACTTAAAACACTGAAATTATTACTATTATTATTATTATTATTATTACTATTCTTTAAGTTTGGTGGGCCAGATTAAAAAGATTAAAGGGCTGCATATGGCCACCGGGCTGTAGTTTGCCCACCCCTGAAATAGTCAATTAAATAATTACAAAAAGATTCGAAATGATACAAAACTCATGTCTTAACATCTGAACATTTCTGGTGAGATAGTTTGGTCTGTGTGTGTTTTTGTAGTGTGTTCAGTCCGGCTGCAGGAGGAGACGCAGCTGCAGATCAGGAGCAGCTTCAGTCTGTTTCTGTGCTTTGTTCCTGTTTGTGAGCACAGAAAATCACAATTCACACAAATATATGTAGAAGGGAAAGGAATAAGCAGAGAAATACTGACCCTACTGACGACAGAATGACGATAAAGTCACAGATCCATGTTTAAAACTGTATACTGCAGACCTACATGTAGATCGTGACAAGGAGACCCAAAAAATAATCTCTTTTGTGACAGTGCTTTAGACAATAGAATGGGATTTTTAACATTAAATCATAATACTTTTTTTATTCTCATGTGTTTTATATGTGTAATCCTCAGTGTCATGTCATGTGCTCAAGATCCTTCTAAAGACATTCAGGAAACATTCTGTCCTGTCAATGGGACTTTAGGATCAATACCTCCGCAAATGAGTATCTAGTTTTGATCCTAGTTTTAGCATCAAACTAAAAATGTCTCTGTGTAGAAAGTGTAAATTGAACAGATGACCAGTGCATTTCCATATAAAAGGACGAGTGAATGATTAGAATAATAAATGCATGTTATCCCTGCGCTCTCACACTGAACACTGGCTCTTTGTTTGTGTGGGAACCTGCTTCATTAAAACTCCACACGACGCGCCGCTCTGGCCTGGATCCAAACGCGTCTCAAACCGGGGGTCACGGACAAACGACAGAGGGATGGAGAAGGACGAGCTGGAAAAAAGGAAGAAGTTAAAGCTGCACTGTACTGTAACTTTACTTGTTGAGGGTTTGTTACTTGCTTGTCTCCATGGAGATAGTAATGGAATGGAATTACATGTATCCATCAAATGCAGGTGTTCGCTAAAATACATGCATTCCTCTCCACAGATCTTACCTGTAACTTTGCCTGGTTATCAAGAAAAAGACAAGTCCAATGCCAAGAATCATTCATCACCATGGATACAAGTTTACTATGCAGTTTCTTCAGTCAAACATACCTGCAGTTGGGTTGTATTTATTTGAGCAGGTCTGAGTCTTCATGCGTTTATTCTTGAATTCCTC